TTTAATCTGTTTTTTTTTAATTATTATTTGTTTTTATTTCATGTGCGTTGGTGTTTTTGTCTGTATGAGGGTATCAGATCCGGAGTTCCAGACAGTTGTGGCCTGCCATGTGGGTGCTGAGAATTGAACCTGGGTCCTCTGGGACAGCAGCCAGTGCTCTTACCACTGAGCCATCTCCCCAGCCCCCAAAATGTAACTTTTAAGCTTGGCCATAAAAGACTTTGTGATTTCCACTCTGCTCTCTCAAAGATCACTTGTCCTGAGGAAAGTTAGTGGCCACACTGCAAGGATACACAAGCTTCCCCACACGTCAAAGAACTGATTGAGAGCCAGCACTGACTTCCCGGGAATTCAGTTTGAATTCTCAAAGTGTTGAGAATTGACACTTTGTAGAGGGCACTTTCAGCTCTAGTCAGGAATCGGAGGAACTCAGGCTGCATGAGACAGATCCTGGGTTCCATTCCTAGACACGCAAAGGTGCAAATACTCATATTTGCACCTAGTTGATATCTGACTACAAGCCTCCAGAAACCATGCCTAGCTCCCCAAATTGCAGTCCACAACACTGGTAGGATATGATACATTTGGGATGATTAATTCCACTATAATGTCCAAAAGTATCTTTTCCACCATAATAAATTATTGTGTTACAGAGAAGCCTAATTCTATTTTTCTGTATTTGTTTCTCAGTAGCGATGACACACTTCCTAGGAAACTGAGTTACCAGCCATGAGCCACCCGAACCCCCCCCCCCCCCGGGGCCCCATCTAGGTGATTCCAAACCAGTCAGCTGGTTTCAGTTTTCCCCTCTTAAGCAATCCCAGGTGGGATGGAGTCAGTTTTCAAATCTGCTGGGGCCCGGCCAGCCTCTCCAGGGAAAAGCAGAGAGCAGAAAAGCAGGCAACCATTTATATGACATACTTTATTTCCAATCTACAACCATTAAAAACACTTTGTAAGTTTACACTGTACAGTTGTCATGTCTGAAATAAGACACAGGGCGAGGAGAGCTGGTGGACTATGGTCCTCCTATCACCCAATCCATCGCAGCAAGGAGCCTTTAAAGGCAGAAAGGCAGATGGGGATAGCAGAAGAGGAGGAGTAGGGAGAGAAGGGGGAGGAAGGGAGAATAGTGGAAGAGAGAGGTGGATAGTTGGCCCAAAGATGCCCTTGGTCCTTCCCTCCTGAGGGGTCCCCCAGGGCCCACGACTGCAGGACCATCCCCAGGAAACCAGGCTGAGCAGGAAGGGGCTTCACAGTATTGGCCAGGTGGGGGAGGGGAGCCAGGATGAGGAAAGGCAGTTTCTAAGCTCTTTCCCAGATGCTGGGTTTTGGAATTGGTTTTTGGCTCTGTTACAGGTCTCCCTGGGATTGGGAGGATAAGGAGGCATGGTGTGGGAGTGCTGATGGGGACAGGGCTTGGGATTCTCTTCTTGCAGCAAGTGTCCTTCCCTTGGGCAATGGTGAGGATCCTGAGGGAAAAGTGAAAAGGGTCCTTTTTGCCTCCTGCCTCTGGGGACTCCCTCATCCCCCTGTTTGTCTGCTGGGACCATGTAGGCAGATTTCCACAAAATCCAAATTAGAGGGGGATGGTGAGCTGGGCTGAAATGGAGCAAGGGGGGTAAAAGGGAAAACTGCAGGGCCATCGCCCCATTCCAGATTCCAAAAATAGGAGACGCCACAGTGATGTTTTAATCGGGGACAGAGGCCCTGGAATCTACAAGTCTGGTTGACTAGTTGTTTTCCACTGTTCTTAGCCCAGGCCAGGCCCAGGTACTGCCCAAGCCGAGCTGACAGCTCATCTAGACCAACAACCTCATCGTTGTTGGCAAACTTGTCTACATCAGAATGACCCGGAGGCTCTTTCAAACCCTAACTTCCTAAGCCTGCTTCCATGGATCTTGGACAGGGCCAACAATCTGCACTTCTGTCACCTTTCCTGGTAATGCTCTACTGCTGGGACAGAGTTTGAGAGACACTAGTCCTCAGAAGTACCCCCAGTTGCCTTGGCAACCTGGCACACCTGTGGCAAGTTGTGTTGGCAAGGCCCAGCTGTAGAGGTACCAAGAGGTCTAGACAGATGCTGGGCAAAAGGTGGTGGGTGAGCCCCCCTGTGCAGAGAAGTAAAATAAGGCACAGAGAATCAAAGGCAGAGCCAAGAGAAGAGTCAGGGGTGCCAGGGCTCAGGGGATCCAAAAACACAAAGGATGTTTGAAGCCTATAGGGTCATCCTGGTGTTCTGGGAGAACCATAAAACCGGGACGCTCAAACTTGGGTTTCCAAGATTGCTAGCTGAGGTCTCTCTTCCCAGAGGTGGCATAGGTGGCTTTGGATGTGGTGTGACAAGGACTCCAGACTCTGACTGCCTCCGTCCTTCTACGATATCAGAGGAAACCAAAGATTCTTTCCTTAGGTCCAGGGAGCAAGTGAAGGCAAGAAGGGGGGAACAGGGTCAGTGGGGCAGACAAAGGGATGCGAAGGCTCCCAGGAGGGTGAGGAAGGAAAGTGGTCAGATGGCAGAGGAGCCCTGAGCAGGGACTGTGGCCCAGTATCATGTCCTCAGTCCCCTTTCATGGGTCTGTGGATTCTGCAAACTGTGAATGCTGTTGCTTCAGGTGGGTGAGGTTCTGCCAACATGAGCTGATCTGGAGGAGGTGAAGGGCGGGGGAGAACAGATGGGATGGACAGAGAGATAAAACCAAAGAGAAGTCAAATTTCCCCTGCTTCATACCAAGGTCACCAAGAGTGGGCAGGGCAGAGAAGACCCAAAGGTGAACACTGGGTCTATGTCCACCACAGACCCTCCCAGTGGGAGGTGATGCAGCTGTACTGGGAGAAGCAGGGAAGACAGGAAGCAGAGAGCGGGAAGGACTGCGGGTGTTCTAGGCTGGGAGGTTGCTGGTGTGGGATGAGTCTGATGAGAAGGGCTGGAAGAGATGGCGTTGCATGACGCAGAGAACAAAGGGATCCCTCTAGGGAGAGAAAAATACAAAACAAACACAAGACTGGATAATTCCAGATCTGAGAGCAAACCTTTGGAGATGGACAGACTGGTCATGATCCTCTCCTGATGGAGTGAGGGTATGAGTTTGTAGGGCTAGGGAGGAGATGGCCAAGGTCAGACAAAAGTCCACAGAGAAGAGGAAGAGTTTACCAGAGGCTATGGGAGGGCTGAGGACTGGTGTTGTAAAAATCCCAGGGTCCCAGAGAAGAAAACCTGGTCTTGGTTAGGACCACTTCATCTGGTGCAGAAACCAGCCAGGAAGTGGTGGCTGCAAGAGATGATAATATAGAGATGATCATATGGACAATGATAAAGGAGGGGGTGGGGGTGAGGGGGGAAGATGTGGATTCAGCCAAGACCTCAGAGCACGCTTCATGCACACTGTAGCGAATCTTCTGAAAGCCAGGAGCTCTGGGATGTGCTGGCAGCTACCTCCACCTCTGCCTTGCTGTGAGACCTTGGGCAAGCCACTCTCTTCTCCACATGTAAACCATGAAGGGGTGAGACACACTGGATAAATGCTGGATTCTGCCTACACAAGTACCTAAAACAGGACAGTGTGAAATGGAAGGGAATAGAGCAGAGGTCATTCAGCCCTGGGGCAAGGGTGGGAATTAATTATTGTCAATGGGTCAGTTATTAATTATTATGAGTAGGTGAAATTTCGGTTTGGGACCAAGAAAAAGTTCTGGAGCTAGTAGCAGTGACACAATCTTGTGAATGTACACGAAAGACACTAAGGCCTGGGGTTGTGGCAAATGCCAACAGAGATAGACACGAAGAACAGAAGTTCAAGTCATCCTTGGCTACACAGTGAGTTGGAGGCCAACTGATGATACAGGAGACCCTGTCTCAAAATAAAAATGTTTTTTAAAAAGCCTGTTAGGTGTTGAAGATGTAGCTCAGTGGTAAAGTGCTTCTCTCACATGCTGGGTCTCATTCCTAGCACGTACGTACACACACACACACACACACACACACACACACACACACTTAAAAGGACTACAGTAACATTTTAAAATGTGAACAGGATGACTGAGATTCTCTTGTGGTCCCTTCTATTTATTTATTTATTTATTTATTTTAAAGATTTATTTATTGGTTATATGCAACACGTTTTCCTGCACAGCAGAAGAGGGCATCATATCTCATTACAGATGGCCGTGAGCCACCATGTGGTTGCCGGGAATTGAACTCAGGACCTTTGGAAAAGCAGTCAGTGCTCTTAACCTCTGAGCCATCTCTCCAGCCCCCCTTCTATTTATTTTAAGGCCAATGAGAGAAGGAGGTACACACCACACCAGAGCCAGGGCACCGAGCGCCTCGATGCCTCTGAGAGCGCTCGGTTTCACTTCAGATTTGATAGAATGCCAGCTTTCCTCAGGAGATGAACGGGCATGATGTATTTGGTCTTTGCTATAGCCACCACTCTGTAGCTGGGAAAGCTGAGGCATAGACTAGCTATATGATTTGGCCGAGGTCATTCAAGTTGGTGGCAGTTTATTATTATTATTATTATTTTTGGCAGTTTATTATTTTGTAAAACAGTCACCCGGAAAACAAGCTTTATCTTGGGCAAACCACAGCTCCTCAGTCCTCGAGGAAAGAGTTCACGCTCCCACACCAGTCTGTCTCTCAGAGCAAACATGCTTGCCTCACACGACAGATGGCTGGAAGTGATAAAAGCCTGATATGCTTCTCGTCTTACTGTGACCGCCAGGAAACTCAAGAATGAAATTTAAGGCTGTGGATGGTGGCACATGCCTATTGGTCATTAATTCATTAAACTTGGGAGGCAGAGACAGGAGAATTACCACAAGTTTAAGGTCCAAATAGCAATTTCTAGATCTGCCAGGGATACACAGCAAAATCATGTCTGAAAACAAAAACAGACAAACAAAAAGCAGGAGGGGTAAGTATAATTTAAATTATGTAATTATGGGGATTATAGTGGGTAGATCGGGGAAAGATTTTCTTTTTCTTTTTTCCTATGCTGGGCAAGTGCTCTACTACTAATATACATGTCCCCAGTCCTCACCCTTTGATTTTCTCATTTTCTTTGTTTTCCGATACTAGGGAAAGAACCCAGGGCCTCACACATGCGAAGCAAGCATCTACCACTGAGCTACCCAGCACTTCCTAAAATCTTCATTTTGAGACAAGGCCTCAGAAAACTGCCCAGGCTGATCATGAACTCACTCTTTAGCCCAAGCAGCTTTGAACTTGATCCTCCTGCTTCAGCCTCCTGAGTAGCTGCGATGAAAGGGCTGTGCCGCCACCAGCCTCAACACTTCTAGCTTGGTTATTTCACAAAAGGTGTGACTAAGGTGAAACACTGGTTTTGGTGCCCTTTGGAAATCCGTGGCAATTTACCCAAAGCTGAGTTTGGCTGAGACACCCTCGTCCCCAGTATCCCAGCTCAGTGCTCAGGGCTCTTGTCAAGGACCTAGCACCATGAGCACTGGCTCACCATGTATCAGCTGTGAATGGTTGGACCCGTGAGTGTAAACACCAGTCACTGGTGCATATGGATCTCCCAGAGAGCTAACCCCAAAGGTCCAGAGAGTTGCAAGTTTGGCAGTGGCAAATCTGGGATGCCCTGACCCTAGCCAGCGTCCCAGTGCGTTGTACAGAAAGCAGGAAGAGTTCCGCTGGAAGGCAGATATCTTCCTGGTTCCAGGTTCCAACATAGAACTGTAGTCGTTTTTCTCATTCACAGAATGAGAGCGCTAAGCCCTGGCTTGTCAAAAAGCCTCTTGAGAGCGGCCCTTGAGCAATGTGATGCATGCCTTTAATCCCAGCACTCAAGACAGAGGCAGGAGGGGGAAGGGTCTCTGGGCAAGAGGCAAAGCTGAGTGACTGACCTCTCCATGAACGATCCAAGGAGTGGCATAGTGGTGTCCAGAAGGTCAAGTTTTTTGAGTGCTTATTTTTGTCACCTGGAGGCCAGCTGGTAGATGAACATCCCTGGAGAGGCCAAGAGGTAGGGCCCAATTTGAGCTCCTAGAGAGCAAGCCTTGGTGGGCTAAGGACTGGGAGGAAGGCTACAGGGCAAAGGGAAATGGATTCTGAGGCCTTGTTCAGTCAGGGGATCTCAAGGGCTCTGAATTTCATTTCAAAACCCATCACCATTGCCTCCAAGATGGTCTAATTTGGTTTATCCCCAGGAAGATGTGAGACATAGATTAGCGTCAATCATGCAATTCACCCTCATGCCCCCAGCCAATCTGTGTCAACCCTGTGGGCCCAAGCCAGGCAATCTATTAGAGGACTGGGACTCCAAGGTTCCTTGGGACATTGGGAGAGGTAGGGGGAAGAAAGTAGAGGGCTGAAGGAAAAGGAGGAGAAAAATGGAGGTGAACAGAAAGAGGATGGATTGGGAGGAAGGGTGCTGCTCCTTCCCATGACCCCGGGCCTCCAGGGGAGTACCCCATGTAGGCCAGACAGTTTTCTGCTTTGGGAATGTTACAAGACATAAAAGGCATTTGAAGAAACAAACAAACTTAGAAATTACATTTCAAAAGAGTAGAGAGATTTACAAACCAACCCTTCCACCCCCCCCAAAAGAAAACAGAACCAGTTACCAAGTAAAATGCTAAAGATCAAACCAAATCAATATTTACATGTAACATTTTCAACCCCATTGAGCCCTGTGTATGGAGGCTTCTATAGGGACAATGACAGGTAGCCTTGCACAGTGGCAAGCAAGAATTAGAAACAGGGACTGAAAACCAAGACTTGGAGCTTGCAACACCTGCTGGGGGCCATGAAGGCCAGGTGCTGAGACAGTGGGAATGCACGACAACCCAGATGGGACAGATGGTAAGGCTGAGTGGCCCCTAAGACCTGGGGTTCAGGTCTAGGGTGCTTTTCTTCAAGACTCCCTGGCTCTCAGCAGCTCTGGGAGGTGGCAGAAGGCCTCTGGTGGCTTGTGGCCTGGGGTGGTCCCCTCAGCTGGAGATAACCTTAGAGGGGCCTCTGACCTCTCGGAGGAGAGCAGTAGCATCCTGGAGGGACCTGGCCCATGGTCCACCGGCCTGCTGACTCTGCCCGTGCAAGTCATTAGGACACGAGGCAACAGCTGGTGTGAGGGACTGACCCTGATATACTGCCCATAGGGAATGGGGTCAAGGGGCTTTGGGTAACTGTTCCAGGTGTCCCTAAAGAGGTAGCCTGGAAACTGGTAGGCGGGAGAGCAGAGGCATCTCCCCGGTCCTTGAAGAAACTACCTCTGCAGTTGGCTCTCGGCCTTCCTGATGGGGAACTCTGCACAGAAGCAATCCACCCTCGGATGAGTCCGAATCCCCAGCCAGGAAGAGAAGGGCAGCACATCATTGGCACCAAGGGGAGGCAGGTGAGCTCCCTATATTGCAGTTCGGGTTACACTGGTGTGGCTCAGGCGACTCCTGGGAGTGTAGGAAGGACGGGTAGTAGAGCTGGGGCTAGAAGACGAGCCATGAGTGGCTATAAGGCTAAGAGAAGGGCTGGTGAACAGGTTGGCAGGCTGGTAGACACTCTTAGATCCATGTGCAAAGCTGCAATAGAGAACATTCTAGAAATCCATCCTGTTTCCCTGCGAGTTCTTATATGGAGCACGGAGGGGTCGCTGTGCTCGGGAACAGAGCTGCAGTCATCTACGTCTGACTTGTGAGAAAAGGTGCTGGAGGACTGGGAGGGATGCGAGGGATCATGAAGGATGTCTGCGGAGTGATGGCATCATTCTGGCCTACACCTTGTCTGAAGTATTCACAAGCTGGCCTGTAGCGGCCAGGCCGAGTACCGGGTGATGAGTAAATTGTAGCCATCCAAGACTAAATGGCCAGTGGTATTGGGGGAACAAGGTGCAGAGCCCCAGTTCAGCCAAGGGGCCCTTCTGACGAAACCAGGCCATCTGAGCCTGGTGCTGAGCTGCCTCAGCCACATGGGGACTCCATGGTGTCACAAGCCCCACGTTGTCCCAGTGGCAAGAATACCTCCAATAAATTACCTTAAGGGCTGGGGGGGGGGGCAGTAAGTTAAATTATTAAAATAAATCACCTTAAATATTTATAGTATGAAAAATTCAAATAAACAATCTAGGCAAGAAATGTTTGTAGGCCCTTGTCTCGGGCTGTGTCCTGGGCCGATGGCCTCTTGGTGCTCTCTGGCCTGACCTGAACAGCAGAGTCTCTCCCAGGGAGCATTTCTGCCCCCTCCTTGATGCAGGATTGTGGCACTCATCCCTGCTACCAAGAAAGAGGCCCTAGGGAATCAAGGCAAGGCATGTAGGCTTTTACTTCTGAATCAGGTGTTGAGAGGGACCCTACCCATTTCTGTTTTCAAGGAGTCTGCTATGCAAGTTGGGCCTTCAAGCCACCTTGACAAGGGAGTCAGCTCTTCTGACCTCCAACTCGGAACCTGACACACTCTTACCTGCCCCCAGTTTTTGCTACGTGGAGGTACAGGCAGGGGGATCCAGGGCTCCAGGATTCCAAGTGGACTTGGTTCTGCTCTATCATATCCCCCTTCCCTGCTCCAAGAAGGCCCAGCAACCCCATCAGCAGAGCTGGGAGGAGGAACGATGAAGCGATGGTCACATTGCCCAGCCCAGCTCTTCCAAGAGCGTCAAGCTGGGCCCGAAGCAAAGCTCAATCTTCTCAGTGGCTTCTCCACATGAGGTCAGTAGGGTGTATCTCTGTGAGCCACATTCCTGGAGATTAGCCAGAAATGCCTCCTTTTCTGGATCCTAAGAAGTGATGTGGATGGTGCCAGGCCTCCTTTTAGGATCCAGAGATGACTTGTGGCATTCTTCAGGTGCTTGGGAAGCCCAGTCCTGATCACCCAGGTTGGTCTTTTCTCCTAGTCACTGCCTTCCCCTGGAAATCAGAGGTCACCTCCCAGCAGTCAGTGGGACACCCTGCTTTACCTTGAAAAGCTCTTCTCTGGCAGTGGCATAGCTGCTGTTCCTCCCAGGCAGAGCGAGGCTGAGGACGTGACCCCTTGCCTCATCTCCAGGGTCTAGGCTGCTTGAGGCGGGGAGCTTGGCTGCCCTGTGACTCACTGGGGGGCTGCCCTCTCCTCCCCGCCCCAGCCTGACTCTGAAGGATGCAGCCTGCACTTGGAAGGAGAGTGTCGGATAGTGTTGCGGGATGGCCGGACGAAGCAGGAGGTCAGAGACTGGGCACTACAGTCACAAACAGCATCCTGGAAAGAGACAGGGAGGAGGTCAGGAGCAGCCCCAGGCACTGGCTGCAGCCACCCAGGAGCTGGGACTCAGCCATGTCTCACACTGCTTCCCAGAGGCTGCAACCCTGTTCTAGACCAATTTTTAACATGTTACTTCCTACTAAGGCAACAATAGATCCTCATTCTAATAAAATCTAGAAGGCAGAGAAGAAAGCAGACATTATCCATGGTTCTACACATACATACATTGACCAGCCTCATCCCCAAAGTTCTTATTTTTGCATTTGCAAAGTACAAACCCTTCTCTGCCACTGTGAATGCCTAGGTTTCTTTTGGTTTGTTTTGCTGTCATTTTCACTGTGTTTGGGCATTTTGCTTGCACGTGTGTTTGTGCACCACATATATACAGTGCCCACAGAGTCCAGAAGATCTCCTGGAAACTGGAGTTATACACTGCTGTGAGCCACTATGTGAATGCTGGGAATCAGACCCTGGGTCCCCAGGAAAAGCAGTCAGTGCTCTTAACTGCTGAACATCTCTCTGGTCCCTGGGTCTCTGTTTTAATGGCTCGTTTATACTCTACTGAATGGAATTCACCCTCCCACCCACCAACCCCATCATTAGAGATGGAACCTAGGGCCTTTAGCAGGCCAGGCAGGTGCTCGACCACTCAGTGACATCCTTGGCTCCAATTTACTTTTCTGTTTGCTTCTTTGTGACAGTCACACAATGAAGCTCCAACGGCTTGAATTCATTATGTAGTCCAGGCTGGCCTCAACTTGTGGTGTTTTTGTCTCAGATATTCAAGTACTGGAATTATGGGCATGTGCTCTCACATCTGGTAAATGCTTTCCTCTTCCCCGGGGAGTACTGGGGATTTCCCAATCCATTTTTGAGCATATTTAGTTAGATCCTTTCTTTCTTTCTTGTTTTCTTGTTGTTTGGATTTTTTGTTTGTTTGTTTGTTTTGAGACAACAAGGTTTCTCTGTGTAGCTCTGGCTGTTGACCAGGCTAGCCTCCAACTCAAAGATCCACCTGCCTCTGCTTCCCCAGTGCTGGGATTAAAGGTGTGCACCACCATGCCAGGCTCATTCATTCTTGTAATTACCAGAACATAGAAATGCTCAAAAGCACTGCTGCTGAACCTGATTTTTCTGTTCCCTTCTGGCTCTGCACTTACTAGGCAAGTGACACACCTATGAGCCTTTATCTCCTTCTCTCTGCAGCAAAAGCAGGTTGTGTTTCTCAGTGCTGTGAGGGTCAAGTCAAACACAGCATGTAAGTGGTACGGCACAGTACCCGCTACACACCCGACATGGCTAAACAACACATTCCCTTTTCCTTTCTTTCTCTTTGGAAGTGTTGGGAATTGAACTCAGGGCTTCCTGTGTGCTAGGCAAGTGGTTCTACCATCAAACCATACTCTAGTCCTCTACTGTTGCTGCTTTCTTTAAAAAAAAAAAAATGATATGTTTATTTATATGTGTCTGAATGTTTTGCCTTCTGTATGTAAATGCACCATGTGTGTGCAGTGTCCAGAGGCCAGAAGAGGGCATAGCATCTCCTGGAACTGGAGTTATAGGCATTTGTGAGTACTGAGAACTGAACCCAGTTCCTCTGCAAGAGCAGTAAATGCTCTTAAGTGCTGGGCCAGCTCCTGGCCCCACACTGTTTTCTTACTGTGTTGGTTTTATGGACACGATGTTGCTGTTGTTTTGCTTTTTGAGACAAAGTCTCACTATGTAGGTCTGACTGGTCTAGAACTTGCCATGTAGATCAGGTTGGTCTCTGATAGAAACCTTACTGTCTCTGCCTCCAAAATGCTAGGATTAAAAGTGTGTGCCAGCCACCACTTTTAGTTTGTGATGGCTCATTCTATATATCAATGTAACTAAGCCACAGAGCCCTTGGACACCACGTCCAACATTCTTCTGGGCATTGATGTAAGGCTAGCACAAAGGGATGACTCTCCCCAGAGTAAGCGAACTCTTCATGGTTGACAACCTGTAGACTGAGGACACCAGATTTTTTTCCCTGCTTCCACTTTTTATTAATTTTAAAAACATTTATTCATTTATTTTGCATTGTGGGCTATACGTATATGCATCCATGCAGTGGTACTCTTTTCTTATTCGACCTTGTGAGCTTCAGGTATCAAACCTAGATCAGTGTGCTTGGTGGCAAGCACTTTTTGCTGGCCCCTTTTCCCACCTTTGGACTTAAATTGAAACAAGGGCACTTCCTGGCCACGAGGCTGCTCACCTTCAGAACCGGTTAAAGTATTAACTGTCCTTGTTTTCAGGCCTTGAGACTCAGAGCAGAACTAAATCATTGGCCAGACCCTATGCTAGACCCTTAAATAAAGACTCATTCATTCTCATCTTCCTCCTCATTCTCCTCCCCGCACTCCCTCCTTCCTTCTTTCCTCTCTTGAATGTTCTAGGACTAAACCCAGGGCCTCACACATTACTGACTTAGGTTGTACAACTGAGCTAGACCCTAATCTAGACAACCTCTTCTAGAAGACTATTTGGCGATACATCAAATGCCTTATTTGAATTAAAAAGAATTTTTAAATATTCTTTTATCCTATTTCTGAAGCTCAAACTTAAAGAAACAAGACATTCAATACAGCATTCTTTATCACGGGGTGAACTGGAAACCACCTAAACACAGAAATGGAGAAATGGACCTGTTGGGTCAGTCACAATCCCATCCCACCCATGGCCTTCTCCAGCCCTCACTGGGTAGGTACACCGTGGGACTGCCCCATCTACAGCTGAACCAAACCACGGGGTACATTTCATCCAGGTTAAGCCAATCAATTTCTTTCTCCTAAAACTACAGAACTGGGACGGAGGGATTTGAGTCAACGTCTCTTAGGTGCTTGAATTGGAAGATATAGAACCAGAGCAGCAACGATCTACCTGATCCTTAGGCAAATGCAGAGAGAGAGGGAGAGAGAGAGAGCTGGGGAGATGGCTTAGCAGTTAAGAACACTTGCTGTTCATGCAGAGGACCAGGATTTGAATCCCAGAACCGACATCAGGTGCTCACAGGTACCTAGAACTCCAGTTTCAGGGGGGCTGACATTGTCTGGCCTCTGTAGGCACCTTCACACACATGATGTAAAAGGACTCAAGTGGATTCACATATAGACACATAAATATAAAATAAATAAATCTTAAAAGAAAAAAAAAAAACCCAGGAGACTGACTGGTTACGTGCACTGGCTGCTCTTCCAGAGGACCCAGCACCCATATGGCAGTTAACAACTGTCTGTAACTCTAGCTCCAGGGGATCTGACACTTTTACACAGGCATACATGCAGGCCAAACATCAATGGCAAACAATAAAAATAAAATATTAAAAAAGAAACAGAAAGAAAGAGAGGAGCAACAGAAGAAATCAGAGTTCAAGCAATAAAAGAGGGAAGTGCTGCGGAGTTCACCAGACCCACTTCAAGGGTCCAGGAGACTCTACGATCCTGCAGAAGCCACTCCTTCCCCATCTCCAACACAAATGTAGACACATTCCTTTACTAAATTTCACTTCAAACAATCCCTAACACAACAAAATTGGTATCAGGAGTGGGGTATGCAGCAAGACATTCTCAGAGGACTTAGACATGGAGTCTTGCTGGAGTGGGGGAAGGGGCAGCTGGTGAATGGGGTATAACCAGACTCCTAAGAATAGGGGTGGATAAAGCGCCGATCTGGAGCTTTTCGAAGCTTTTTTTCCTGGCATTTATCCTCTTGTTACAGCAATCTTAAGCTACCAAGGCACACACAGAATGCTAACTTAGAAGCCCAGCAAGCCACTCCGTAGGCACATCTCCTCTGGAGGTGTGCCGCAGATCTCTGCAGCATGGTGGTAAAGCAAATGGTTATGCATGTCCACCCATCTCTTGGCACAAGACCTGTGTTATTCACGTCAGGTATGTTTATGCCCATCCCAGATCATATAAACCAGGTGTCATGCACAAATCTATAATCCCAGCACACTGGAGGTAAATGCGTAGGGGATCAGGAGTTTAAGGTCACCATTAGCCAGACAGAAAGTTCAAGGCCCAGCCGGGGCTACAGAACAGTCTGACTTTAAAGAATAAAAAACATAACACAGCACAAAACAAAACAAGCACTTAAACTTTCTAGGCTAATCCCCCATCCTGATAGAAGGGTAAAGCCCATCCATACCTCACTGGAAAGAATTAAGGCTCCATCTCCATCCCGAAGGACACCATCCTTCCCCACCTGGGAAAGCATGGTGGGTCTGACCTCTTCACTACCACCTGCCTTGGTTGCCTTCTTATTCAGGATCCTGGCTACGCCCTCAGGTTGATGGTAGCTGGCAGGGGAAAGAGGTTCTGGTTTCTTGGAACTCTCATCTCCTGCTGCGGTAGTGGGGCTCGGGGCCCGGCCACACACGTTCCGGAAGAACTCCTGTACAATGCCATACTTGGGAGGTTCGGGCTTGGTTCGGGCCTCAGACATGCCCAGTTTCCAGACAGACTCAGTGCTCCCTGAGTGCTCCACCACGCTAAAAAGGCTGGACAGCCCATCGTTGATGTTCCTCAGCACCGGGCTATCCCGCGTGGTTGTGGAGCGGGCCCAGGCAGAGCCATTCTGCTTGCCTTGATGCAGGTTCCACAGGCTGCGGTCCTTGGTGCTGTCCAGCTTGGACACTGATCGCCTCTGGAGCTTGGGTGAGCCATACTTGGGTGAGCAGCATGGCCGCTCAATGCGCGAGTGGACCTTGTCCAGGGAGGAGGAGATCTGCTTGCTGCGTACTGACATGAGCGAGGAGCTGCGGGGTGACCAGCTCTTGCTGTGGAGGCTGCTGCGGGGCGGGTCAGTCTGCAGGCCCACACTGACTGTCCGAATGGTCTGTGTGCCCACACTGGCCAGGCCCACCGTCTGGCTGGATGTGCTCTTTACCTTCCTCTCCAGCGAGCCAGAGCGCATGGCCTGCCGCACGCAGTTGGTGATCTCCTTCATGTCATCGCTCATGTTGCCCGATATCTCAAAGTCATGCAGGGCTGCCGGGAAAGCAGGTCCAGAACCCGAGGTGTTGCCCCCAGATCCTCCATCCAGGCGCTGCCGGGAGAAGTTGCAAAGCCACCGGCTATAGGAACTCTCAGCCAGTCCATCTGCCTCAGCTGACTCCTTGGGCTTGGCTGTGGTAAAGAGGAAGCCTGGTTCAATGAGGATCTTGCCCTCCTTGTCATGGACCACAGGGACACCCAGGCGCCGGGCCACTGGGGGACTATAGTAGACTCGTATGCCTGTCTTGTCTGGAGCAGTGTAGCTGCGCTGCATCTGCCTCCCTGCAGGCTCCTGGCAGGCCAGGGTACCCACACGGCTGCAGTCCCGGGTGGAAAGCCCAGACTTTTCCTTGGAGTCTTTTTCAGGCTCCACCGGTTCGGTATTCACAAAGGCAAAAGCAGAGCTGTTGGGCAGTTTCTTGCTCCGGGCATCTCCACCAGCAAGGTAGGGGGAACAGTCGAGCAAACTTTCAAACTCAGACATGGAGGAAACTGATTTGGTCCTGGGAAGAGTAGAGGAAGAAAATGAGATTAACGAAAAATAACATATCAAGCATGCTAGTCTACTTTCCTGGATATGCATGTGGAGACCAAGCCTGTCTTGCCTATCTCTGATAGACAACATTGCTGGCACCTCCTCAAATCCTCTATACACCTACCCACATACTCAAGAGGCACAAATACTAGGACCACACTTAGCCTCTAGACAGAGGAAGCCAGAATCAGCAGTTTCAATCCCCCTGAACATAGCACACAACAGGTGGGATCTGCAGTAAGTGCCTGGCCTCCTCATACCTGAGTTGAGGTGGCTCTGACTGACTCGTTTGACCTCTGCTGGCTCCCAGGCTCCTCAGTAATCTTGAGTTCCAGCTGCCCACTGACTAACCTGGCTGTACCCCAGGTCCCCCGCCAATCATCTGAAATTCCTTTGACCCACTGTCCTCATTCCTTGTCTTATATCCAGGTAGGGTTTGCTTCCTGTACGTGACTGGTCGTTAGGGAGCTCTGGGGGCGTCTCCAACTATCCCAGTGAGTAGGTGGAGTGTCTCCAACTATCCCACTGCAGAGGGGGGGCATCTTCAACCACCCCACTGCAGAGGGGAGGCATCTCCAACTATCCCAGTGGGGGGGGAGCATCTCCAACTATCCCACTGCAGAGCAGGGGGCATCTCCAACTATCCCACTGCAGAGAGGGGGGCATCTTCCACTATCCCATTATGGAGGGGCATCTCCAACTATAGAGGGGGGCGTCTCTGATTATCCCACTATAGAGAGAGGGGGGCATCTCCAACTATCCCACTATAGAGAGGGAGGTACTCAAGGCTCCAGTGCTAGAAATGGCAGAGCTAGAATTGAAGCCTGACCTTCTGGCCCCAGTGGCCTCCTCATTCTAGAATGTTCTGTATTGCCATCATTTCTTTCATGGAGGGTATTAGTGGTGGAGACACCATCCTTGGACGTCCCCTTGGTCACGGCATGGGGCTGGGTTCAATGAACCCTGTCCAATAACCCCAGGAATGGATATCTACCATGACCCAAACTCCAGGGAGGAAAAGATAATCCCCAAAGGAGACAAACAGCTTTTTTTCCCCCAGCAAGTGCAGCTGAGGCCCTGGCTTTCTATACCCAGAATCAACATTAAACTGCACACTGTAATCCTCATAGCCCCAAGCTTTCTCGTCCCCGAGTGACCAGGGTTCCAGAGAAAAAACCATCTGGTGGCTCTCCCATCTCTCACAGGGACAGAAGTGGACAGACACATGGGGCAGGGGAGCGAAAAGAGTCAAACCCAAGGGTCTATGAGGGGAAGACGGGGGCAAAGTGAGGGGCCAGCACCTCTTTAAGGCGGTTCCCCCAAGCTCAGCTTCAGAAACACCCTCCTTGTCGTGGGTCTTCTCACTTCGTGTCTGTCAAAGGGAGAGACAAGAAGAGTCAGTTCTGGTGACCAGCGTGTGAAAAAAGGAAACAGTGTGGGAGCTGAGCCCAGGCCTCGCGTGTGGGTTCTCTCTTCCGAGTAAGATGTGCTCAGCTGCAGTTGAAAAGGCCCGCTGGCCAGTATCTAGACCATTGCACCTCACTCCCCTCCAGCAGCGATGTGGCCCAGGCTCAGGTACCTGGTGGACAAAGAAGGTCCAGGGAAAGAGGGACTGTTGGAGACTCAGATCTTATTCCACAACAGCGCTATATGGTTGATAGTAATGGCATCATTATGATGGTATGAGATTTCCCCATACCGGGTCCTCAGGGCCCATGAGTTCTCAGATCTGCATCACTAGTCCTGTGAGCCCCACAAATCCTGTGTCTCAGTTCCCCAGAATAGGGGTTTGCCTTCTGTAGCCCCATTTTCTGAGTAGTATGCCTTCATGAGGAGGGAAGGGCGATGCGAAGGGCCTGTACATAACCTTTGTTACACAGCTCTGTGTTCTACGGACAATGCCCTTGGACCTATGTGCAAACTCCTCCAGTGTGACCCTACTGACCCCACTTAGGACTAGGCCCGGGCGATGAGACAGCTTGGGCTCAGAGATGGAGAGTGTCTCACCTAAGACCACACAGCCTGCTTTCTGCTGAAGTATAACTGCATCCCCAGCAGAGGACCTTTCCCAAGTCCCAGTCCATGGACAGGAGTCATGGGTATGAGGAAGGTATGGCTTTGGGTACAGGGTTAACATTCATTCTGCCACCTTTCCCATAAGCAAGAAATTCCCTAGCATTGTCAGGAGCCAATAAAACATGGGTAGCGGGATGTCCTCACCTCTTTCCAGCTGCTGTCTTGTTTCTCCAGGTCTGAGTGCTTCAGGACCCAGGGTTCGGCAGCCTTCTGCAGCTGAGAAAGAGAAAGAGTGTGGGTCGGTGGGCAGGGCTACTCGGCAGGTTCAACTCTATAGCCCTCATCTCATGACCCACACGGGGGGGCCTGGCATTAGCTTCTCAGTGGAGAGCAGATCTGAGCCCCCATGGGTGGATTTGGAAAACAGTAAATAACACGCAGCTGCTGGCTGGCATCTTCCTGACACGGCTAACAGAGTTAACAGTTGCTACTTAACCTATGGTAGAGATCATAGAATGGCTAGGCGGAAAAGCAATAGCGATTGCACCTAAGGGACCATGCTGCCATCTGCCATCAAGGGCCAGCCATCAGCAACAACCCAGCTCTACTTCCTGCTGAGGCCTGAGGTGACCCTGGGAGCGCCATCACTTTCAGAGTGTCCATTTGCGTGTGCACATCGGTTCATTTAATCCTCAAAGCGACCACAGGAGCAGGCGTGACTGTGATGACTTCCACGTCGCAGGTGAGAGGATAAAGACAACAGGAAGGGACTGGCCCAGATGTGCACAGCTGCACTAGCAGCTGGGATTCCAAGCACTGCACCACCACTTTGAAGGAATTCCTCCTTGGCTTTACAACTAACTCCCACCAGGGGTGACTCACCCCAGCTTCCCCAGGGCTTTCCCAGTGTTAGTAAGGCTTATGTCCCCCAAACCTTGTAGTTCTGCCTAGGACTGTTCCAAGGGAAAAGTGGAAGTCGTAAGCAAAGCCAGGCCGGGCTGGGCACCTGTTTGCACTTAAACCCATGTCTCCAACTTTGCTTCTTAAGAACCCAATGTAAGACAAATAAAATGGGGGTGGGGAGGATAACCAAAGTCACCTCAACACGAATGAACAGAAACAGAAATTTAGATGAAGATGTTAAACCAAGGCCCAGGCAGGGGGCCAAGGAACACTGTGCCACTCCTGTGACTAGCTCTATTATTCCCGTGGCTGCCCTGAGAGATGAGAAGGTCAAGCAGCCATCTTCCTTGTGCAGACGAAGCTGGGAGATCAGAGGGTGACTTGACTAGGCTGGGCCTTTTGATCAGGGGCCCCTTTGTGGTCTGAATGAAAATACCCCCCATAGGCTCATTGGGAGTGGCACTATTAGAAGGTGTGGCCTTGTTTGAGTAGATGTGGCCATATGGGAGGAAGTATGTCACTGGGGGTGGGTTTTTGCTCAAGTCAAGCCCACTGTCATTCTCTCTTCCTGTTGCCTTTGGATCAGTATATAGAACTCTCAGCTACTCCTCCAGCACCATGTCTGCCTGTGAGCCACCATGCTTCCCACCATGACGATAGCAGACTGAATCTACAAGTCAGCCCCAATTAAATGTTTTCCTTTGCAAGAGCTGCAGTGATAACAAGAGCTGCAGTGATAACGATGTCTCTTCACGGCAACAGAACACTGATGAAGATCCCTTCCTGCTGCTCTGCAGGCTGTTTGACTAGGCTGGTTTCCCTGGGAGCGTAGCTAATATGGATGTGAGGGCTAATGCCGGTGATCCTAGCTCTAGAGAGGTTGAAGGAGAACCAAGCATTCCAGGCTGGTCTGGAACAACTACCAAGTGAGGAACATAGAGACGCAGTCTCAAAACAACAAATAAAGCAAAAAAGGAAAAAAGTGAGGAAGGGAGGAAGGGGGAAGAAAATAAGAGAAAGAAGATGCAACTTTGGGTGTCCTGGTTTGAACTGAGGGAAGCAGGAGATCAGAACTAGGAAGTCAGCAAATTCCACACAAGGTCCCTGCTGGGAAACAAAGTGCAGGACTCAGTACCTATGAGCCAGAAGGTCCCAGCTGTGTATATGCTGATACCCCACTAAACATGGCATAGATTTGGCTTAATGATTTCCAAATCATTAAAAAATAATGTGACAAAAAGGGATCATTCCACAGGCAGAAGTGGCCGGATGACGCTAAAGGGAGCTCTGCTCCGCATTCCACACACCACAGGGAGCGTGCTTTCATCTGCGGGTGTGACAGCCTGAATCTGCCACACAGACACCAAGGAAATGGGACCCTCAGAGGGAGTGCAACCCTGGAGAAAACCCAGTCCCTTGCAAGAGGTCAGCTCATGCTCGATGTTGGGGCTGGAGAGATGGCTCAGCCGTTAAAAGCACTTGCTGCTTTTCCAGAGGACTCAGGCTCAGTTCCCAGCACCCACATGGCAGTTCACAACCATCTGTAACTCCAGTTCTAAGAAATCCAATACCCTCTTCTGGCCTGAGGGCATCAGGCATGGACATGGCACATATATATACATGCAAGCAAACCACTCATTCACATGAAACAAAAATAAGTAAATATTTTTTTAAAAATCTGCCAGATGTGAGGTTCCTGCCATGTTTCTGTACAGTTAAGCAGGACATTTTGGGTCATTTTGCTAATCTGCAAAGTGACCTTCCAGGGTTGGGAGGGTTGGAGAGTGCATTCTGAGAAGACACACAAAGAAGGTAACTCCTAGAGAGACGCTAGTCCTCAACAGGTGAGTCCAAAGGCAGGGAGTCAAAAAAGCTGGGGAGGAAAAACCAAAGCACGTTTGCATGCTGCTTTGGCTATGGTGGGGGTGGGGGTGGATAGGGGACAAGCATTACATGATATGATACCGATGGATGACAATGGGAAAACCCCTCTGAAGCCAGTAACCTTTTGATCCGCTATACATGTGTACACGTGTAATAATGGGTATATATGTACATGTGTAATATTGTATATACGCGTACACATGTAATACTGTATAATACATGCACACGTGTAATATTGTGCATACATGTACACGTGTAATACTGTGTATACATGTACATGTGCAGATGACACTAGAGGGCTACTTTCTGCCTGTTTTGGGGGGTTTTTTGTTTGTTTGTTTTTTTGAGATAGGGTTCCCTGTAAACCAGGCTGGCTCCAAACTCACTAGGTAGCTGAGGATGAACCTCAAATTCTCTTGTCTTTACCTCTCAAAAGATTATAGGCATGAGCTGCCACACTTGGTTCCTGTGGTGCTGGGAATCCAATCCAGGGTTTCATGCATGCTAGGCAAGTGCTCTACCAACTGAGAGACCTTGCCAGCTCCCCAACGAAAACATGGGACCTAGATCTTTGTCTGTGTGGAATAATGAATGGTGGAGTCAGGCAGCAGTTAAACTGAATGAGGCTCTCATTCACGGGAGAGGCAAGTGTGCACGCAGGAACATAATGACTCAATTAAACCAAACCAACCAAACAGAAAACTCTCCACAGGTGTAGACCTACATAGCAAAAACGTAGGAAGCCAGACAGAGTGTGTATTTTGTAATGTTCTAGCTCTTGGTTTCCCTCTCTTGGTCAGAGACTCCGGTTTTCCTATGGAAGCGCTCTTGGCTCTTCCCTTTTGGGTCCTGGTTTTGATAGGCCCTAATAATGGGCTTATCATGACTTGACGCCTGGCCAATGTGAACTTGTGGGGAAAAAAATGTTCTTATTGCAACTGTTAAGCTGTAAGATGTGCAGGACACAATGGGCTTACGTGAGGCTGGCATGCGAGGCTGGCATACGTAAGAGCGGAGCGAGCAGAGGGGGGCCTGAAAGATGGAGGCAAAGGCAATGGCTCGGCTCTCACGCCTCTCTCTGAGCACTCTCACGCCTCTCTCTGAGCACTTCTGCTGCCTGAGCGCCTGGATCCCACCTCACCTGACTGAGGCGGTTCTGCAGCTCCTTCACCTGCTGTTCCACCTGTTGCTTCTCGCCCTGCAGCCGCTCCACCAGCTGCAGCTTCTCCTGGCTCCAGTGGCGCTCGCTCATCTGCAGCTGCCGCGTCAGCTCCATGACGGCGCTGTAGGACTCGGCCAGGAGGTGCTGCTGTTCTTCGCGCTCCCTCTGCAGTGCAGCCTTCCAGTCAGGCCCGGGCCTCTCGCTGGCGCCCTTCCCAGCCTTCAGCTCCATCTGCAGGAAGACCATCAGCTGGGTAGTGGCAGGGGACAATGGCTCCCCACCCATACCAGGGAGGCTTTGGAGACTCTCCATTCTGATGCTGCTTCCAACAGAGCTGTGGACCCCTTTCTGCATACAAGCCAGACCCGGGATCTCATGTTTTCTTCCTAAGCCTCTGCAAGCATTTCACATCTGGCTACAATAGGCAGAGCCCCTAGCTACTGATAATCATGTTATTTATCGACTTTATTTATTTATTTATTTATTTATTTATTTATTTATTTTGGTTCTCAAGACAGTGTTTTCTTGACTATTTTCAAGACTGTCCTAGGACTCACTTTGTAGACCAGGCTGGCCTCAAACTCACAGAGATCTGCCTGCCTCTGCCTCCTGAGTGCTGGGATTAAAGGCATGCACCACCACCACCTGGCCATGCCTCCTCGTTTATCTGTATTAATAACCATGCCTCTGTCTCTCTGCTCTATTCAACCACAAAACAAATAGGCTAAGCTTCCAGAGCATTGCGGTTTCTCCAGCAGAGAACCCAGATCACCCAAGGCCAGCTTTCTGTGCATCCTTGTGTCCGTCTGTCTTTTCTTCACTCTCTTGACATCCTAGTCAGGTCCATCCCGGAGTCAGGCTGGATGTGGCATGCAGGCAGTATGGAAGCATGCTGCAAGCCCACAGTGTAGCCTAGGATCCTGTCAATCTCTCTGGGTCACAAGCTGAAGTCTAAGCGGTCCTGTGCATCCAAGAGCACAGCTTAGTACCCGCCTCCCGGATCTGACGGTCTAGATCTGGACTGGGAACAAGGGAGGAGATGCGCCCGAGAAGCGTGAGGAGGCTTACCTGCGAGGCATGGCCCTTGAGCTCTGCCCGCTCCGTCTCCCACGTAGCCTTGGCCTTGGCGAACTGCTGCTGAAGTTCAGTCAGACCCCGACGCTCGTCCCGGAGCAGCCAGCACAGTTCCTTCAGTGTGACCTTCATGTCGGCCAGGGTCTTGATGTACTCGTTAGGCTACAGATAGAGCAAGGCCTGGTCAAGAACTTTGTGAAGGCAGGAAGGGCAGCCCTGCTACTGCTGACTCAGCCGGCAGTCCAGCTAGGGCCCTCCTGGTCTCAGAGAGGGCGAAGGCCAGTCTTGGAACAGCCAAGCTGAGCAGCAATGAATTGTTCCAGAAGCAGCTGTTCTGCTCAGATGCAGAGAAACAACCTTCCCCAGGCTTTGCAGGCTGCAGGCTGCAGGTCTCTAGTCTCTCAAACGGTACCCCCCTTTCCTGGTTCCTCACACACTGCTCACCCATACCTCAGCTCACTGTAGAACCCTAGGAGGCTGATTCCATGGCTCCCTCTGACCTGTGGCTTCGTGTAACCCTGGCCTGGTTGGTAGCCTTCCCCTCTCCCAGGGTCACACTGGTCACAGACCCTCCAGCACACCGTGCCACACCTCTGTACACACAGTCCTCTTGCTTCGATATGGCCTGTTGCCCTTTCTGAACTCGACCAGGCTATTCACCCACGTGACACTTCTCTGTGACACTCTTCTCTGTACAACAAACTAACTGCTCTCCTTCCTGTGACTTCAAGTTCATCTGGCCTTCTGTCACTACCCTGGGATGACTCACATTCCCCTAGCCCTGAGCAACTGGTGGGCCGGTTCCCAGTCAATAACCATCTGCGGATCCTGTGTCCCATCAGGGCTGTGTGAGAACACAGCAGGAAGTGATCGCTAATGGATGAGGTGCACATGAGCAGGACCAGAAGGGGCTGAACACACCGTGTTCTGGGTCCAGCTGTCCCCAGTGCAGGCCTTGTTATCCGAGTGTTGGGCATTCATCTCTTCTTCCTCCATCAGCAGATACAGTTCCTTGATGCTGTTCACCTGGTTTGAGAAACCACATTCAATGGACTCAGCCCTCAGAGGATAGGGAAACTGGCAAGCAGGCAGTCCCGACGGGAAGGGGATGGCACAGCCATGCAGAAGAACAAGGGTCTCAAGATGAATCCCCACATCTTAACTGTGACCCACCCCCTACCCTGCCTCTGTTCAGTAGGAGAGGCAGAACCCACGCCCCACGCCTCCTTGTTCCCGCCCAGGGGCGGGGCTGAGCTCAGTCGTACCTCCAGGAAGTCATCCTCCTCGTGGGGCAGAACCTTGCCCTGCCGCCAGCGCTTCAGGAACCATCTGAGCTTCATGAAGAGCAGCAGGAAGTTGTGCTTGAACTGCTGGGATTCCTGGACCAGTATGTTCTTCTCCTGGCTCCAGAATTTCTGCTCCAGCCTCCTTTGGAGGCTCAGACTCTGCAGCTCGAACTCCCGCCTCAGCAGCGCTCTCTGCTGGTCTTCTTTCAGCTGTCAGGACGGGAGTGAACACGGGAAACCCCAGCTGATTCCAGATCCAGATCACGGGCAGAGGGGAACAGCAATGGCAAGCGCCTCCTTGGCACGGCCAGGGCTTCTACCGATAGCAGCCCATCGTACCCAGGGATTTCTTTCCATGCTGGGGACAGAACCCAGAGACTCCCACATTCCGGGCAAGTGCTCTGCCACAGAGCTACACCACGACCTCTGTATCTTCAGTCCTGGGAGAGGTTGTACAGATGAAAATAAAATGTGGTACAAACCCACCTGGACTACTTTCTGGTTGAAGCTGTCAGCCTCCTCCTTCCGGAGCTGCCGCTCCTGGGACAGCTGCTCTTGCAAGCCCCGGAGGCTGTCGTGAGCCTCGGCCAGAACCAGCTGAAGCTCCTTGATCTGCAGGGGGGGGGCAGACCAGGAGTGGGGAGAGGACACAGGCTGTGGTCAGAGAACAGCAGTAGCAGGGAATCAACAAGAAGATGGACCCGGTGTCCTCTATTAGGCACGACACGGTCCTTGCCTCAGAGGGTCATTGAGACAGTTAAATGAAGCCATACGCGTCAAACCCTCCATGCTATAATTTTTTTTTAACATTTCTCACTTGCAAATTTACAGGGAAAATGTACTGTGAAAACTAAATTTGACTCACAAAGTCGTCAATAGTCTCTTTAATTGATTGACTCACTTATTTTTGACTCAGCCTCACTATTTTTTCACAGGCTGTCTCAAACTCCTGGGCTCAAGGCATCCTCCGGCTTTAGTCTCCCAAGAAGCTGGGGCTATTGGTGCTCGCCACCATATGCTATTTCATTGCTTATAATTAAAAATTTAGAAGCTTCTTTGTAAAAAATCAGGTGTCCATAGGCGTGTGGATCTACATCTGGGTCTTCGATTCCGTTAATCTGCCTGTCTGTTTTTATTCCAATACCATGCCGTTTTTATTACTATAGCTTTGTAGTAGAGCTTGAAATCAGGGATGGTGCCACCCCTGGAAGTTCTTTTATTGTACAGGACTGTTTTGGCTATCCTGGATTGTTTCTCATATGAAGTTCTTTCAAGGTCTGTAAAGAATTGTGTTGGAATTCTGATAGGGATTGCATTGAATCTGTAAATTGATTTTGGTAAGATGGACATTTTACTAACTTAATCCTACCGATTCAGGAGCATGGGAGATCTTTCCATACACAGAGGAAAAAAAGTCAACATAACGATATTCTGCTAGATTCATAGATTGGTGGCTACCCCAGTTGTTATCAGAAAGCCTTCATCCAGCAACTGATAGAAACAGGTACAGAGACCTACAGTCAAGCATTGGGTTGAGCTCAGGGAATCCTGCTGAAAAGAGAGAGAAGGGTTGTGCAGGGGGGGGGGAGTGGGGAGGGGTCAAGGACATCACAAGGGAACCACATAAACAACTAACCTGGGCTCATGGAAGTTCACAGGGCCTGGACAACAACCAGGGAGCCTGCATGGGACCAATCTAGGCCCTCTACATATGGGTGACACTTGCGTAGCTTGGTATACTTGTGGACTCCTAGTAGTGGGAGCAGGGGCTGTCCCTAATGCTTTGGCTGGCTTTGGGGAACCTATTCCTCAGACTGGGTTGCCTTGCCCAGCCTTAATACAAGGGGAGGGGTTTAGTTCTACTGCAGCTTAATATGCCATGCTTTGTTGATACCTTTGGGAGGCCTGCCCCTTTCTGAACAGAAACAGAGAAGTGGATTAGGGGTGGGGTGGGATGGAAGGGAGGTGGTGGGAGGGAATGGAAGGAGAGGGGGAAGGGGAAACTGGTTGGGATGTAAAATAAATGAATAAATTTAATTAATATAAGAATTGTAGAAGCAATTTAAATAATAAATAATGAAGTTTAAAATGTGTTTAATGGGTCTACATATACAAAATTCCACTCGGCTGTACACTTACAGATGCTGTGTTTGTATGTCATTACAGAACACGTCAACTATCAACATGGTTGGCTACATAATGGTCTTAACTTTCTTTATAATCTTCATGTACTGATGTCTGAGGATGCAATTGTCCTTACTATGGCTTACAACGACTGTGGAACAAGACCATTAAAAAAAGTCAACCAAATTCTCCAATTTGTGGGGGAAATGATGTTTTAAAAGCATTTAGAACTTAAATAGGCAAAGCTGAGGTGTTCTTGGCCTGGCAGGATGGCTCAGTAGCAGATAAAGGCTCTTGCAGAGAAGCATCAGGACTTGAGTTTGACTTCTGGAACCCCTACAAGCTGTCCTCTGACTTAGACATGCATGGTGCATGTACAGTAGAATGTGCAGCACAACGTGCACATGTGCACCCACACACTAAATACATACATACGTGTAAAACGTGTTTTAAAACCTCTTCTTTCATAAGTCCAGATAGAGACTAGAAGGGAACACAGAAGGAACTTCCTGGGGTCTGTTTATGGATATAGATGCTAATTACAAAACAGGAAGATCGTGAGCTCGAGGCCAGCGAGGGCTACAAAGCAAGACCCTGTCTCAAAGCACCACACTCCCTCTCTGTTCCTTCCCTACCTTTGTGTGTGTGTGTGTGTGTGTGTGTGTGTGTGTGTGTGTGTGCATACTGGGAATTGGACTCAAGGCCCCATCCATGCTAAGCAAGTGCTTCATCACTGAGCTAAAGCCCCATCCCATTGTCACTTTGTTGTTAGACTCCAGGAACAAAAAGTTTTAGCCAGATGAAATGAAGTGGTACATGGGGCAGGAGGATCACCTGAGCCTGTGAGTTTGAGACCAGCCTGAGACTCCATCTCGGGGGAGAAAAAAAAACCAGAACAGCATTAAGTCTTTCTGGTAACAGGAATGTTTATTCTAACACATTGTGCAGGAAGAGGAAAATGGAAATGATCCCAGGCATGGCGGGTGTCCTGCTGTGAAAAAATTATGTGGCCAATAATATGATAACTTGGCACTGTCTCTGCAAGGATTTGAGGCATGTCTTGTGCACATGCTCTGTATTAAAAATCTCTGCAGATCTGGGCAAAGTGTCTTGTGCCTGCAATCCCAGCACTTAGAAGCTGGAGGCAGGAGGATGCTAAGTTTGAGGTAAGTGTGATCTACACACTGAGACCCTGGCTCAGCAAACAAAAATCCCTTTATCAGGCTGCTACCCTCATACATCCTCCTTGAAATCAGGGTTGGTGCCATGTTTCATGCTTCAGTCATAACTGCTCGGTAAGAATAAAGGGAACTGATTAAATGTGTAAACCAGCTGACACAAACAAGCTTATTTCCTTCTCGGTACCCATCTCCCCAATGGGAATCAAAGCTAGGGTCTTCTGCATGGTAAGTACACAGTACTACAGTCAGTTACATACCCAGACACTGTTTTTCCTTTTTTTTCCCTCCTTCCCCTATGACTACCGGAATGTCCAGACCACCTCAGTTTGCAGGGAGCTTTGGTTTCCAGGGGGCAACCCAGGCTCAAAGTGCACAGGGAACTTCTCAAGGATCAGAGAACCTTAGAAATTCTACTGATCATAAATGTTGTGGGTGGGAAAGCTGGGGCCTCAGGACGTGAAAGTATCCAAGGACATACCACAGACCAGCAGAGTGACATCTTGCTCAGGTCCCCTGAGTCCAAGTGACATGTCCTGGACTCTGTCCTCATCCTTACCCATAGCGGCCACCCTTTAGCTAAAGCTTTTCATGTTTCTACCCCTGTCAACAGCCCTATGAGGGGCTTTGTTCTTGTAGATCACACCTGACAAGTCAGGAAGCGAAGTGACATACCCAAGATCTCACAGCCAGCGTGCAGGAGATTCACAACATGAACTCAAAGAGCCTGCATAGAGAGACCATTGCCTCCCTGCTATATATGTTAGTCATTTTATGATGGCCTCCAGCTCAGCATTCCTCCTGCCTCAGCATGCTGACACTGGGATTACAGGTACACACCATGTCTAGCTAAGCTTCCTCTAACTAGAGCATGAGGTTGATTCAAATTCCTTATTTCCTTTTTAAAATTTAATTAATTAATTAATTAGTCTATTTATCTATGACTTTTTGGAATTTTAGACGGTTTCTCTGTAGCTTTGGCGCTTGTCCTGGAACTCACTCTGTAGACCAGGGTGGCCTCGATCTTACTGTCTCTGATCCATCTGTCTCTGCCTCTCGAGTGCTGGGATTAAAAGGCATGCACCACCACCGCCCAGCCCTTATTTCCTATTTTGCCCTGGCTGTCAGGAAGCTGAAAACCAAACAGAATGCCCAAAGCCCATAGCACCATCCTTGGAGGATTACCCTGCTTTTGAGAGGGCCCCAACTAATCTCCTTCAACCCAACCTCCGGCTTAGTCCTCCACCCACCTCAGAGGCATAGGAATCATTATCTTCAGCTCGATAAGGCCTGAAGTTCCGACTGGGGTCAGGCTTGGAGTCCAAGTCACCAGCACGGAAGGCCTCTCGGATCCTAGGCTCCCATTCCAGCAAGTCTCTGAAGTCAGATGGCTAAAGTGAGGGGCACAAGCAGAAGAGAGCCATGGGGAGACGCCGGAAGAGCTTCAGAAGGTCCCCACCAGGCCTCAGCTCTGTAATAGGCTTTGTCCACATGAGAGTGAGGCTCAGGTGGATCGACCTTGCAACTTGACCCCAGTCTTACCGGGGTGCATTCCCACCACTCAATGATGGCTTGTTGCAAAGCCGAAGGAGTGGGCAAGTGAAAACACAAAATTTGTGAACGGTTGTTATGCAAAGCCTGCTGAAACAGTTCCACTGCTCTACCCCCTGTGTGATCCCAGCTCACACTTCAGGGTGAGACAAGGAGACTCAACATGGGGTCTGTGCACTCGTTTATGAAGCCATCTTAAGCTGCAACAGCAAAGCATGAGTTGAAGCTGCTATAGTACAGTGCAGTGCCATGGACGGAAATTCGCTCTCAGTATGAAAACCAAACCACACCATACTCTCTGCAGCCCAGCCCCGTGGCTCTGCACAGTTCCTTGAATCTACCATCTTTCTTCTATATGAGCTGAGCGTCTTCAAGAACCAGGACAAGCTCCTTGTTGATAGAAACTGTGTATCTTTCTTTCAGGTCCCTCTTCTGTGTCATACCACATTCACAGGCTTGCCATGTTGATTAAGTCTTCCTCACTAGGAGTGGGAATCCTATTACTATCTGGTTCTACAGACTACCTTCTGTCCTGTGCTGAAAACAAAGGGTAGGAACTAGCAACAAAGTATCCAGCAAATGGACACAGACTACAGTGCCTGAGGAAGACACCTGATCCAGCAACAGTAGCTATAACATGAAAAAGGAGAAAAAGCAAGCACAGAGAGGGCATGTGGAGGTTTAGAAAGCAAGCTTCCAGGACCCAGCTAGACATAAGCATCTGAAATGTGTAACTGCAACCAAGAAACTGCAATTCAATTCTATGTCATCTTTGTTCATTTTAAAAATTTGTCTTGGGAGTTTTGATTTGTTTCTGTTCTGTGCTGGGGATGGAGCCTGAGCCACATCTCCTCATGGCTGCTGCATGTGATACCTGTACTGAACACCACCAGTGGGGGCCATCTATAGAGGTATTGGCAGGGAGTGGTAAACGACTTATTTTCTTTGCTTCAAATATTTATGTATTGTTCTTGCAATAATACTTTGTAAATTTCTGGATATCTTTGCTATTTTAGTTTTTCTAAAATGTCATAGATATCAAGACTAAGCTTCTCAAAAACTCATCAGTAGGATTTAAAAAAACCCCACAAACGTTTGCCTTAAAATTTAAAATTATGGGCTGGCAAGATAGTTTAGTGGGTACTACCAAGCCTGACAATTTGAATTGATCTCCAGGACCATCTGAGAACTGACTTCTGTGACCACTACCTGTCCACAATGGCTCCCCTAACACTCCCTACCCACCCCAAAATAAGTATAATAAAAATTTTAGTTTCAAACGAGATAAGAAAAGAAGGGGCAGGGTGGCTGCCCTGGAGAAATGGCCCAATGATTACGAGCTCTTGATGCTCTTCAAGAGGACCCAAGTTCAGTTCCTAACACTCAGGAAGGAGTTCACAACCTCGGGCAACTCTAGCTCTGGAGGCTCCGGCACCTTCCTCTGATTTCTGTGGACACCCATACACAGGTGGCATATATATACACATATGCACACATGTAAATTTTCAAAGATGTTTTATAAAGAGGGGCCAGGGATGCGGCTCAGTGGTAGAGTACTTGTCTAGTATGTATGAGGCCCTGGGTTCTGTCCCCAGCACTGGAAGAGAAGATGGGAGGGGAAGGAAGGGAGAAAGGGGCAATCTAGCAAAAACAGAGGACCTCAGACTCAACCTCCATCCACAGTAAATGCTTGCTTGGCAGTTCACTGAGCCAATAGGCTTATTTTATACTTAGTAAGTTGGAATAAATATATTTTTACTACCTGTTACAGCAAATAGCAGACCAAGTGAACAAAGCCAGGTACTGCTGTGTTTGGTTTGTATAATTCCACTTATATAAAGTTCAAAGATGGATAAAACCAGGAGATTGTACTGGGAAGCAGGGATAGTGCCCAACAGGGAGATTGATCAGAGCAGTCTTGGGGCTGGTCATGTTCTGGATGATAAGCACATGACTGTTGACTGCAGGAGAGTTGTAAAATTGTTTGTATACATAGATTTGCATCCTTCTCTGTCCTGTGCCTGTTTCAGCACAAAGTTTGTATGTAATAAAAGTAACAGGACCCTGCCCTGGGCATCTTACCTGAAAGTCGGAGCCAAGGTCTTTGGCCAGTATGATCTCCTTAGAGGGCCCCTGGGAGCCCAAGGCGGGCAGCGCAGGGAAGGACTCAGGCTGCTCCTTGCCGGAGCTCCCTAAGGCCACATCCACCTTGCGTGTGAAAGTGTTCAGTTCTTGTTGCAGCACGCTCAGCCGCACCAGGATGGCATGGATGAGCTTGGCATCCCTGGGGCCCTCGCTGTTATCAGGCGCCTCGTGCAACCGCAAGTCTGCACACTCGTTGTCCAGGCATAGGCGGAGGCCAACCGAGAAGCCATTGGTATCAGCCACCAGGACGTCGATGGCCTTGCTCACCAGGGCGGCCTGCTCCCTCAGCCCAGGCAGCGCCTCAGCCTCGCGGGCCCTGCAGAGCCGGGCAGTGTGGGGCTCCAGCGCCTCGCCCAGAGGGGCAGGCACACACTGTGCAGAGTCCCCGGCCTCGGCATCTGTCTCCAGCATGGGGCGTGTGCTCTGGCAGGAGGCCAGGTCGCAGCGCTGCAGGTTGGAGAGGAGAACGCGGTTCTCATACTGCAGCTTCTTAACCTTGCCACTGAGCTCGCCGATCTGCAGTTTGGCAGCTGCTAGCTCCTCCTGCGAGGGCTCGCTGAGCACCGAGCAGCTGTCCTCCGACAGCGTCACGTCCAGCTCGTGCTCAGAACGGTATTTGGCCAGCTCGTTCAGCAGCAACTTGTTCTGGTCCTCCAGCTCTGCCGAGGAGCGCCTCAGCAGTTCAGCCTCCTCTTCCACGAACTGCAGGTGGCGCCGCAACTCGGCCAGGCTCTCCCCGCACTCACCACCGAGAGCAGAGAAAGCCAGCCGGGCCTCGGGGCCCCCACCGCCCCCATGGTCCTTCATGTCGTCCATCTCGGCCCGGAGGCCCCGGTTCTCCACCTCCAGCTCCACGATGCGCCTGCTCAGCAGGTTGGCCTCCTCCTCCACCAGCTTCAGGTGCACCTTCAGCTCTGTCTCACGCGAGTGCGGAGCATCAGCCAGTTCTTCTGCGGACAGGGCTGCGTCCAGGTCCCCATAGAGGGAGCGGTATTTGAGCAGCTCCTCTTTCATGCTGTCGTTCTCCTTGGCCAGCTTGGTGAGCTTCTTGCACATGAGGGCCGACTCCTCCTTTGCAAAATGCAGCTGGCATTTCAGATCTGCGCTGTCCTCCTGTGGCCCAATGGACACGGAGACAGACAGCAATAAGGAAGGTTATTGTCAGCTCGGATCCACAGTGCTCGGGTGCACTGACTATGTCTGAGAACACAGGGGTGAGTTGAGGCCTAGAGGCCACAGGAAGCAGAGCCGGGGGAGGGGGACAACGACATGACATTGATATTGAGAGGCCAGGACACACTGCCTACAATCTCAGAGACTTGGAGCCGGTAACATTATGACTGACAATGTACATTCCTGATAGAACTGTCCCATCTGTACAAGGGACAACAACCGTTCCTCTCCCACACGATGACTGTTAAAGGGGAAAGCGTACAAAAAGTGCCTGGCACCCTGGCTGTTAACAGGATTCTGGTCCTGGCCCATGCAAAACACGGTGCTTTGATCTAATTCTTACAACAAACCCACAGAACAGGAACAGATGAGGAAACAGATGAGAAAGTTGATGTGATTTGTCTCAGTCGGACAGCCATCAAGCTGCAGAGTCCAAGTTCAAGGTCTCTGGCCCTGAACCTTGGGTTTAGTTGTCCCTAAGCTGGGTGAGCAATCTGTGGGTCCAGGAATGTCTAAGTATCAGTTCAGAGTGGGCTTGGGGGAAGTGCTTTCTAGAAAAGTCGAGAAATGCGCAGGGGAAGAAAATGCTCAGGGAGACGGGGTGGGGGTGGGGGTGGTGTGTGTTAGGGAACTCTGGGGACTACCCAGGACGCTTAAAGTTGATCTGGGCTTCCAAACTACAGGTAGGGTGCGCCAGGGATGCTGAGGAAATACCTGTGCAGTGGGCTTCTTATCTGTCTTCCCCAGAGATCGGGTTCCTCTTTTCTTCAAGGAATGCTAAAAGGAAAGAAGAAGCCAAACTGAAAGATCACGAAGATGATGCACATCCAAAGAGACGTCCCCAAACGGCCACACTCAGGGCCCCAACCCAGCCTGTATGTGTTAGCCAGAGCCCAAGGCTGAGCCAGGGATTACTGCTTGAGCTGCACAAGGCAAACTCACAGACTGGAGGAAGTAACTAAATACCCTGCCCAGGGCTCCTTCCCACGACACCCACTACAGCTGCTGTCATCCCGTTGGCTGGAAATTGAAGTTTGTACTCTTGTAGTCTTTGTTGTTGTGGTTTCTGGCTTTTTTTCTTCCCGACTATAATAAAATTACATCATTTTCTCCCTTCCTTCCCTCCTACCTCCCCTCATTCAAATTCATGGCCTCTTTCTTAAGTGTTGCTACACATGTGTGTGCTCCTAAATACATAAGTACAGCCTCTCGCTCCAGATGTCACTTGTGTGTGTTTTCATGGCTGACACTTGGTTGTCTTTCGCTGGCTCATCGGAGATTTCTTGAGTACACCTCAGAGTGCAGAGAACATGACACTGAACTAGACAAATGAGCTACCCAAAGGATGCTGTTTCCTCCTGCTTCAGGACCAAGAGGTTCGTTCCCCCGAGAAAAGACCTCCAAGCTGAGGGCTGTTCTTGGTGGTGCTCACTGGCTAAGGGGAGCTCTCCCTGGGCGGAACCCACATCTGCAGACTGGCCCAGGTCCCCGTGCCTCAACCCCAAAGGGCCACTAGCTCGACCTGATGCCATCTCTCTGGTTCAGTTTCTTTCTCGGCCTCACTCCCTGTCTCAGCCGAAGGGGCTCTTCCCTAAAACTCTGCATGCAAATCTCCGTCTCACAGGAAGTGACTTTTCATAGGACCTTGAACACAGAATGAATACTAATGAGCAAAATGTGGGTGCAAAACTAGAAACAGCACAGGAGACCCAAAAACGGCCGTGAGAGACTAACAAGCAAAGGTCCAAACACCCAGTAGCGCTGCAGATAGGGGAATTGATACTTTTGATCACACAGGCAAACACTACACAGATTAAAAATGAAACAAAAGAGAACAAACCATCTTGGTCCCAACACAGTTCAGTGGTAGAAAATTGGCCTAAAGTGTTCCAAGCCCTGGGTTTCATCTCCAGAAACACACTCACACACACGCACATAGTTAAAAGATAAACAATGAACTGGTGAGAAGATCTTCAATAGGAAAATGGGTTAGGAATACAAGAGCACGGGCACTCAGGCCCAGGGGGCAGTCCTATAATTCCAGCTACTCAGGAGCTTCAGGCAGGGGAATCATAAATTCAAGTCATTCTGTGCAACAGATTAGGACCTTGCCTAAAAAAAACAAAAGCAAAAAAACAAAACAAAACCCAAAAGACTGGGGGGATACTATCCAACGGGAGAGAGCTTGTCCACTGTGCATGGGGTCCTAGGTTCCATCCCCAGTTCAGGGAGGAAGAAAGTTTATAGAAGAAAGGCAAATTGATCTTAACCCTGGAAAGATGCTTGGCCCCACTCAGGGCGGAGACGCCCAAAGGAAAGCTACCCTGAGGTACCACTTCTCAATGATCAGACTGGCAAAAGGCCAAACCATCTAACAATACATCCTATTGGTGAGGCTCAAACGAAACAAGAGGGCTCATTTATTGCTGGCAGGAGTGCAAAACGGCACAAGCCCCACGGTGGGGAATTTGAGGAAATGCTACAGTAATCAGTGCTGAAGTTTCTTGTTGTTTAAAGAAGTCCATTCAATTAGACGCACGATTCCATTGAACATTTCCTCCCGAGAGAGGGATGATTCATGCCACCAGCCTTTCAAACCACACTTGGGTCGCTTTCAACTTTCTGAGTTGAGCGGCCCACTCGGATTTCTGAAAATGCTCTCCGGTGGCTTTAGATATATGTTCACCCCCAACCTTCATCTCATTCCCCATTACTGTAGGCATGAAAGACAAGACTTAATTTTATTTATTTTTATATTATGTATATGGGTGCCTTGCCTGCATGTATGCTTGTGCATCACATGTGTGAAGTGCCTGAAGAAGCCAGTGGTGCTGGGACTTGAACCAGGGTCCTCTGGAAGAGCAGCCAGGGCTCTTAACCATGGAGCTATTCTCTAATCCATTAAGGCTTGTTTTACTGAAACTGAGAAAGGGGAACTTGACCAGAGTTCTGTAGCAAAACCAAAGCCAACCTACAACCAGTTCTTGACCTAGCTCTTCATTGCATTCCAAAGGTTTGGTGGGAGAAAATGCATCTTTGATGAGGGCTAGAGTGGGGCCAACACAGTGGTTTCCAACCTGCACGCGGGAAGAATTACCTGGGGGATTTAGGAAAACACCACGGAAAGCATCACTTCAGAGTCTGGAATAACTGGCCTGGGTAGGCTTCAGTCATCAAAGTTTAAAGTCGCTTCCCAGTAAAGCTTGTTGGCCTATAGGGTGTGTGTGTGTGTGTGTGTGTCCACATACGCAAGTATGTGTGCACATGTGTGTGTATGCATGCATGTAGAGACTAGAGGACAACCTCAGTGAGCACGTGTCTGCATGCACAAGCATGCGTGTGTTTGCATGCATGTGGAGACTGGAGAACAACCTTAGTTGTTCAGAAGCTCCCATCATTTCATCTTGGGTTTTGTTTTTTTTTTTTTGTTTTTTTTTTTTTTGAGACAGGATGGTCCATTTGCCTGGAATTCACCAACTATGCCAGCCTGCTGCTAGGAAGTCATAGGGTTCCTTTCTGAGTCTGGTGTTTTTACCTGCCAAGAGCAAAGAGTCCCAGATCTTTCAAAAGAGGACTTTGGGCATGCGGGTCACAAAACAAGCCCTTTCACGAGAGGTGGTATACCAGGACAAACGGCCTGGAAGGTAAAGCTCAGAGGGAGACTGCATCAAACTCCCCGCCTTAAAGATGGGTCTGTCATCACGGGTTGAGTAGAAACTCCTTCACCTACCTAGAAACCCATGAGCTGGGTGACCACAGCATCACCAAGTTCCCCTGATCACAGCAAGGAAGTGAAGAGACCTGGATCTCTAAGGGTTCTCAGTTATCACATATATACCCATGAGATAATGTAAAAAGACACTGAGAATGACGAAGAGGTTGTGATAGTAGGCTAACAAATAACCACCTAAACACTCTGTGGAGGAATGGACGTAACCTACAAATAAAGCTTCCGACCGAATATGGCCTCCAGGTGAGGACTCAAGTAACAAACCCTGGCGTGTCCACACAATAAAAACTTAGTCATGAAAGGAATGGGGTCCTGAAGCTCAGGGCTGCATGGGTGCCTGGAAGACACCACGTGAAGCAAGCAAGGCCATCCCGACACGGCAGGCACTGTCGCTGGGCAGTTTCTTCTGAGATTAAAACATTTCATATTGCAGGAAGCTCCTTAAGCAAGAATGTAAACAACTCAAAATAGGTTCAGAAGTCCCTGAAACTGACCAGGCTCACTAGGCCCCTCTTTGCCAGAGTCGGCGATAAAAGCTGAGAGCTTCATACAAAGTGAAGCTGAACTCCAAAGACGACTCTCAGAGGAGAAAAGCTGCAAAGACTCTAAGGCCAGATCAGCTGCCTCAAAGAATCAGAAACCAGCTGAGCTGCCTGGAAGAGCGGTAGACCAGAGTCACTTGGGAAGGACACACTCCAACCTGCTGAGCTGTCTGCAGGCTGTGCAGTGTGCTCCAGGATTCCCGGCTTTTGTGAGATGTCACCTGTGCCGGGGTGGGCCTTAGTGATGCAGCTGTCTGTGAGTCATTTCTGCTTCTGTAAGTGACCCTTCACCTATACTCCTGTAAATAACCCCAATAAAACCTGTTAGCTCACAAAGTTGGGCTTTGGTGGTACCTGTACTTTGGTCTGTCGTGGGATCCCTGTCTGGGGTGACTAGACCTGTGTGTGTGTCTTCCCAAACAGGCATGTAGCATCAGGTTCCATTTCCACAAAATGTCCAGCCCAGGCAAATCCCAAATATATGGAAAATATACTAATGGTGTTGAAGAGCTGGCGTCGGAAGGATTGGGGAGTGACTGCTAAGAGGTGTGCTCTTAATAAGGTTGGCTTGTTTTTGTTAGGGTGTAACAAAAACGTCCTGGATTTAGAGAGTAGGGATGGATATACAATTGTGCAACCCACTAACTGTGCAGTTTAAAAGGGCAAACTCGGGCTAGGGATGTAGCTTAAAGGTAGAGCATTTGGCTGGCGTGGGTTCAAGTCCCAGCACTGCAAATAAAAAAGAGGAGGGCAGAGTCATAGTGTGTTAATTACAGCTCAATAAAATGTTACTGAAATACCAAAACTGAGTACCTGGGCATAATGGTACACAGCTATACATGCAGCCCTTGGGATCAGAAGCAGGAAGGATGCCACAAGTAAAAAACCAGCCTGTCTGCATAGCAAGTTCCAGGCCAGCCTGGTGTCCATAGTGAGTTCTGGGTGAGCCTGGACTACATAGCAAGCCCTACCACAAAACAAAACAGAAACACTCACATAACGTACAAAAATACAGACGGTGGCCGCGCACCTTTAATCTCAACACTTGGGGGGCAGAGGCAGGCAGATCTCTGGGATTTAAGGCCAGTCTGGTCGATAGAATCAGGGCTATCCAGAGAAACTCTGTCTCCACAAATCAAAACAAACAACCCCCCCCAAAAAAAACCAACCAGAAAAGCACAGATGTAAGAAAATAAATCCAAGGCCCCTCTCCTGCTGCCCCCATCCTCCTCCCTTCCCCAAGGGACCTTTGCCAGCTGGCCTCCTCTGGAGCGCTTTCTAGACCTTTGGCTCTGTCTTTAGGACTGAACTAGATGGCTCTGCGTGGGACTTTCTTCCCTTCCTATGCTGATCTGCTTCTGTGACCTTTATAATAAGCACTTCAGACTGAAGGCAACCCGAAGCACCCAGCATTTTAAAAGGCTATGTCCATGCAACATGATCCTGCACATTACAAAAACCACATGTGCAACCTAAGCCCATCTTTATTCATTTTTTAAAGACAT